CAATTTTTAAAACTCATTTATATATTATACAAGAACGACATACACGGCGCCAATTTATAATTGTAACGAATATTATTTGAATAAAAGCATTTAATCGGGTAAAACCCGGGCGTTGCCCGTGTCATTCGGCTAGTATACTATAATACTCAGTTTATACAGGTTGAAGGAAAAGTCTCTCGCGTTGTACAGTTAAAAATTAATAGAGAGAAAGATAAATATATGTTTTATTGAATAATTATATTTTAGTCTTCACACACAAATACTGAAAATGTCTCCAAGAGACTTTATGGGTTAATAAGGATATTTCAGGACATCCTCTTTGTTTATCGCCAAAATACATTCCTGCGATGTCTGAACGTAACCTAAATAAAATATATGAAACAATTTAAAACTAAGTAACAGTGACATAAACTATGAGGTGTTCCGGAAAGTAATATTCTATCAACTCCACCGATCTTTGGGTCATTTCTTTTTTTGCAATTTTTATTGCACCGGTTACTTTTCAGACACGCCTCGCCCCGCCCTATGACAGGGAATGGATTTACTCTCTCAGGCACTTTTATATCTGTTTACTACGTTTGAAGGGCATAAAAAGCACAATTGAGATTATAAATTAGAAACATAAGGTGACAAGACTAAATCCAAATGAATAAATTGTATGGAATGGTAACAAGGTTGTTATCACCATCAGATAAAAGTACTGAATGGTAAATAAGTAGTATGAAATCATCCAGTACTTTTAACTAATGATGGTAACAACGCTGATACCGAAACTTCACTCACTATTTATTAATTTGGATTTGGCCTTGTCACTTAATGTTATGTCTGGAAGCAGAGAACACGGCCTTTGGTTTGCTCTGCGTCGTCTGAAAATCTTGTCTACTTATTTTACTTCTTGTTCACTTAGCTTATATTTATCCCATTTAATACATATTAACATAAGTCTAATTAAACATTTTATAGAAGAAAGCTAGAACGTAGTTGTCGTGGCCCAATTGTTTACGCGTCTAATTACAGATCAGAATATATTGCAGGTTCGAATCCTTTGGCAAAATCGTTTTAAAAATAGTTAAAGCCCGTAACAGATTTTCGTAATATAACCGTTACTCATCGGAAGAGAATGTATTATGCTTAAATTCTATTTGAAAGGTCTTTAATTGCTCCGCGTGAGGTACTTGACAAGGTTGATTGATAATTTGTGATGTCATCTACAGAGAGTTTTGATCATGATTCTTCTTAACATTAAAGAAACAATCATATGAATCAATTTAAATCTCCTTTGGATATCTGATATCAGAATATAAAACGTTTATGGAGATAAGAATCTTTATTTTTGATCTACTCAAGCTTTCGGGCTTGTCTGCCCTTCCAACATATCTTAATATGCAAAAATATCCTAGTGTATATGTATATATTAGATGTATATAGATTCATAATAGTTTTAGCATCAGGTGGCGTTATATTCTCAATGTATTGTTCTCCTGTGGAAGGGCAGACAAGCCCGAAAGCTTGAGTAGATCAAAAATAAAGATTCTTATCTCCATAAACGTTTTATATTCTGATATTAAAGAAACAATGAAAATACCGAGTTCGATGTGTGTGAAATGTTATAGCCTTTTTCAACAGAGGAAAATGTTATAACACCGTTTTCCAGCAAGTTAGCGTACGTCTACACATTAACTAGGCCAAATAACCAGGTGCTACCTTGGCCTGCAATGTTCGTATACTTGTGTTTGAGATTGTATGGATGACATTAACCTTTGTTTGACCTTTTATCTTCTTCTTCGAATGGAAGCTCTACTAAGTAGGAATCTTAAAACGATTATTATCCTCTACACACCTCATTGGTTGAATCTGTGTAACAATGATTATATCTCTCACTAGTTAAAAGAGCGACTTTGCTAGAATGTTTTCACAAAATAATATATATTTATTGTTACATTTTTTATTGAAACCTTTTTTTCTTTAAAATATTATTAGAGTGTATTAATAATCAAGAGTCGTGTATATCAGACGAAATACTATATTTAGAATATCCACTAACTTTTATGTGGCATAAGAGAGATTTATTAAGATATTTGGTTTATTTCTTCAGAACCTAGGAGGCATTTTCTGTATTGACATCTCATTCAGCAAGATAATCTCAAAAATAAACTTCACGTATAGTGAAGATTTTATTGAACGTGCTGAAAGTTGGTTTCTGTGAATCATGGCGTGTAATCCGGTGGAAAATCTGGAGGCCATTGTATAATTCTTCACTTCGTCTTACTTTATTCTACGACACAAATAGTAAATGGGCTTCAAGATCTGTCTAGACCAGAGGTTGGCAGCCTTTTGAGCTGGAAGAGTTAAAAATTACAATTTACAAAATTTCAAATTTTTAAAGAGCCACAAAATATTTTTATTACCAACAATAAATAGTACTCGCATAAATAATATTTGCGTATGGAGCTAAAGAGCCGCAGTTTCACATCCAAAGAGCCGCAATTTCACATCCAAAGAGCCGCAATTTCACATCCAAAGAGCCGCAGTTTCACATCCAAAGAGCCGCAATTTCACATCCAAAGAGCCGCAGTTTCACATCCAAAGAGCCGTAGTTTGCCGACCTCTGGTCTAGAGTTATTAGCGCCATCATGGTTCTAGCAAATTGATCTCAAATTTTTGTTTTTCTCGGGTAAATAATAGTGATTTCTTGTAACACTTTGGACACAAAGGCATATATTTTTTAAATTATCCCATTAACATATAATAATATAATTATTACTAAAATTAATTTTATGAATTCTAATTCGCGCGTTTTAACATACACAAGATTATTTTAAGATATATACATTTCTCTTTTCGTTCCATAAAGTGTTCTGGTTGAAGTGTAATTCCAGTAAAATATTTTATAGCCATATTCCTTCTTATTTATTAAGTTGTGTGGATTGGAGAAATATTTTTAGAATTCTATCACACAAATAAATAACTACGTTCTCTCGTTAAAAAAATTGAATCGTAATTATCGAACATATATATACGAGTGTAATTGTAGGTGGAAATTTTTCCGGGAGGGGATAATGATCTATAAAAATAAAGGACACCTCTCCCTTTAAAATAGATGTCAGAACGCCATCTATCAGCACAAACCCAAGTATCAGCACAATTTCACCATCGTCCTCGAACCCTATACTTTACAAACCACAGGCATCATGGTATAGAATGGTATCACCTACGAGACCCAGCCCTCTCGTTGTTTTACTAGGCACAACAACGAACCGTCAGCACTATGTGGATAACGTCCTAAGAACTTCCTTTCTTGAAATTCTCGAGACCCTATCCTTACAAGATAATCCCCGGCTGAACACTTAAAGATTTTGAAGCAAGAAAATGATTATTCTTTGAGAGTGTGAAAGCTTGTAAAAAATAGGAACTTACCCTCTACCATTTATTAGTTTATTTTCTTATGTCTTTTTTGCATACGTTTAATCTGGTTAGAACGATGTATGTAAATTAGTTTGCAAAAATACCATTACTAAGATTCTATCCTTCATTGACCCATATATTAGCAGGATCTTTCAATTCAGTATTAAAGCTCTGAAAAGTGGTCTGGTGGTTTAAATTGGCGAAACCTCTGGGTGGGTTCTCCACTGATGAGCCAAGCCCTTCCACTATTTTTATTCTCAGTAAGGAGGGCAGAAAGTTTGCTTTATTTGTTGAAGAAACATTCGTGCGTGATATTTGCATTTCTTGTTTAAAGAATTTTCTTGGAGTCCTTCTCTATTTTCAGATTCTTCCGTGATTTTCCCGTTCCCAGGACCTGTGCCCCATTGATCATTTGTCGGACCAGCTCCGGTTGTCGCAAAGCTACAACATTCCGGATTTAGAAGTTCAGGAAATGTGAACCCGTCAGAGCACTAGAAGACTTCTCCTTGATTCACCGTCTAATCCGGTTGCTTCATGCATCGCAGTAAAAGGATGTCCGACACATCAAACAGATCAACTTGTACTTGTGGAGCTTTTTTTCTTTCAAATAATTTATTTGTTACAATCGTATATCATTAATTACATAAAATTTCATATTTTTGGGAGTAGGCAAATGTGTCCATGAATGCATTTTAAAGTGATATCTTTGATCATTCAGTATTTTACTCCAGTTAAACTGGAGAAGACAGTTGACGTCATTTACAGAACTATTTATTTCCTTTTGATTTTTGTACAAACTAATGCCTGAAATCAGACGGAACATCCTCAAAATATGAATTGCTGGCCGTTTATAGTTATACCACATACTCATACAAAATTGCACGCTGGATTTTGCCAAGCAGTATGATGGCTCAGAGGCGACGTAAGTGAGCTGACCTCTGCGGAAATCTTCAATTGACGGACGTGACAGGAAGCAATATACGTAACTTACTTCTTATAACTATTTTTAGTTCTCTCAAATCAAATTCTCCTCGTCACAGTAACCATCTTACTTTGAAAACATCTATTTGCTTCTATAAATCCATTATAATTACCTTATGGTCTTTGGTCAAAATATATTATTATTGAATTATTTAATCAATGATTAAATTTTAAAAAGTAGAAGTAAAAAAAAAGAAGTTAAAAAATTGAAAATCAAAAGGGTTAAAAATGTTAAGCAGCTTTATCAACAAGGAATGGATAATTTATAAACATGTAGGTATATGTGTTTATTAGATACAATAAGAAATGAAACCATTAAACAATAATTTTTATTCTAAAAATAAATTAACTTTCTACTATTCTTACTGCGATGATAAATATTGGAAAGATAATCAATGGGGGTTATATACACAATATTTGAATATAACTTAGAAGACTTACAACAGGGTAAGATAAAAAAAGAAGAGTTGCGAATATTCACAAGACGATGGGAATATATAAAATATTTCATATAACGCTAATAAAAATCACTAGCCTAAATAGAGAGAAATGGTTTTACGGGTTACTAACCAAAGAATGATTTTCGAGTCAAAAAAAAAAAAAAAAAAAAAAAAATTCCACGCCGGGAATCGAACTCGGGCTTCCTGGGTTAGAGCCAGATATTCTAACCACTAGACCAGGTGGGAAACATAGGCTAAATATAAGAGATTATCCCTATGATAGCGGATTATTTTTTTTTATAAAAAAAAGAAATGTACCGTGAAAATAGAGGTAATTTCTCTAATATATTGTATACGTGTAACAAAAAGAGGCACCTTTCCCTTTAAAATACATTAAAACAATGTTTTTTTAGTTCATCGTTCCAGTAAAAAACGTAATGGAGGTGATAAAAGAAGGTGCAACAACACCAGTTTTGGAAATTTCAGACAAAATTCAACCTGTATACCATGGTTTCGGGCTATGACCATCTACAGTATCATTCTCCAGCAACATTCTATATACAGTAACGAGCGTCATTCTTCATCCCCTAATCTCCTAATCAATCAACTCTGTCACGGTTTGCTTTTTTTTTTTTTTGGAATGGCGCCCTCCTATTGGTCGGCTACGATCACGCCACCTTTGCCCCCCACTCGCATTTTCGGTTTTGTAACTATTGTGTTGGAGCGGGTCGCTCCTTAAATAAATGCATATATTAGTTAATAACTAAATGGAATCCTCTCTTTCCCTTTCCCAGTAAGAGACGCCTACGGAAGTCAACAGTACATAGACAGATAAAGCACATAGGCTATTGTTATTAACTAACATATGCATTTATTTAAGGCGCCAAATTATAATTGTAACAAATAGTATTTGAATCAAAACATTCAATCGGGTAAAACACGGGCGTTGCCCGGGTCATTCGGCTAGTTAATATATATATATATATATGTTAAATATAGAGCAATCCATTTATGATATTTAAAATAGAAGCATATTTTGGATCAGTAAATTTATTAAAATTCAATATTTCGACGAGGCTGTTCGCCTATCTTCTTCTTGGAAAAATTCAAAACCTTCTAAGCTTGTTATCCGCGTGATGCGCGCACGAGAAGTGTTGTTTTCTATAGCATATGTTGGTGTGACCAGACCATTTTAATTTCAAAGATATATATATTTAGCATTTTATTACTGAAAAAAAGTAACAATAATTCAAATTAAAATGGTCTGGTCACACCAACATATGCTATAGAAAACAACACTTCTCGTGCGCGCATCACGCGGATAACAAGCTTAGAAGGTTTTGAATTTTTCCAAGAAGAAGATAGGCGAACAGCCTCGTCGAAATATTGAATTTTAATAAATTTACTGATCCAAAATATGCTTCTATTTTAAATATATATATATATATATATATATATATATACATATAAATATACGTACATATATACATGTTGTAGCATATATACATATGTATTTTATGTATACAGATTATATAAAAAAGCATGCTATTTGTATTTTGCTATTCTGGAAACTTCCCTTATTGCTTATCTTATATCTTATAAATGTTGATTTTGTTTTTGCCTTAAATAAATTGCCGTGTCATTCTAAAGTTTGTCTTTCCTAATTTTCTCTCTAAGTTATAATATACTTATATATGTATATATGAAAAAATAGTACAATATCACATTTGTACTATTTTTTCACATTGTGTAGCGTTCTCACGCAAATCTGGCCTTAACTTCCCGTTTCATGATTTTTCAGGATGCCTTAATGACCAATTTTTTTGGTTATTGAGGTACAGCTTGCACCACGCTGATGAGGGCCAACAGCCCGAAACGCGTCCGTGGTTAGCTTTTCTTGATTAATCAAGAATGGGTATTTGGCCAATTCTGGAATAATAAAAAATCAACGAGAATAGTTGATATTTATTCCGATAGATGGCGCAAGCCATCAGCAACTTTCAGTTGTACGATAAGGAGATGCCTTTTTCTTAATATGTATATATATTAAAGTGAGAAAAGAAAACTAGATGACGCTCTGCCATATAAACATGCTCTTGCGAGTGGGCAGGATATGCCTTTTTCATTTTAAATATACACGTGTATATTTAATCCTTCCCAATTTACCAGTTAAACACCTCTTTAGCAAACTGTGAAGATTTCATTTGATCCCATATAGCACATGAAATCAAAGTCTCCCTTATGCTGACGGGCCATTAGCCCGAAACCATGGTCTTCAGGTGGGCGCTTTTCAGTTTGCCAAAGCTGGTGTTGTGGCTTTGTCACCGGCCCACGGAGATGGTCAATAACGGCGCCTAGTTTTAACGTCTATTTTAACGGGAGAGACAACCTTAGTTTTTATATATAATTGATAAAATAATTGCCACGTTATATTTTCCCTTGTGTTATAATTTTATTTATTCAAAGGCTCTGTTAAAGCAATTAATTCTTCGATAAATTTAAACAAAATACCTCATCCAAGACAACTATAGCAACAGTGGTTGCAAATATTTAATTTGAACTACACAAACGATAGTAAATGGACAATTTACGAATATTATGAGCGTTATGCCGATATTTATGATGGGAGAACAATATTAGAACAAGAGGTAAGGCAAGTCTCTCGATAGTACCCGGATTCTTGAAGTCATGTACAAAAATTCGAGTTGGCCTTTAGACTTCACGTCCAATTGTGACATCCAGGCTGTCGCCAGGCTGTTTTGTACTTGGGAAGATTCTGCAGGTCTTCAGGGGAAAACAGACTCTACCTAGGAACAAGTGTATTTGAAACCTTTGAAGGTGCTAGGCGGGGCCTCTGAAGAGAAGGTGGTCGACAGTATTGTATCCTGGGGCGTTATGGAAGGTGGGGTCGTCTTTCAATATTTTTGCATCGTTAGCTTCAACAAAGCCGTGTTCTGTAAGGATCGTAGAGATGGTGTCACAAATTTTATTTTGGTTATTAGTGAAACGTTAGAAGTTATCACCATCCGGGTGAACATAAATAAACAAGAAGATTAGATCCTAGTCAGTACTGGCGGTTGAGTAACATAGATAAGAAAGTTCAGCCGCTCCTTTCTACGACCTTTCAACTCTTCCTCGCGATCCCCCATAACAGCTTTAATTGTGCGACCTAGGTCGTATTTACTCAAATTTGGCCATAAATACCAGTTTCTTGATTTCTCAGGAAGCCTCTTAGATCAAATATTTGGTCTTTGAAGTAGAGCCTGCAACACGCTGACAAGATTCAACGGCTCGAAATACGTTCGTGGTTGGTTTTTCTTGATTTATCAAGAAAATAGTTCGGCAAAATATCAGGGAACAAGTTGAATAAACGTTTTGTTGACGCTCTTCCATCTAAAATCCTCATGTAAGTGGTCAGAATATGCCTTTTTTGTTTTCAATAGATATATTGAATTAAGAGTTCTTAGTCCGAAAGAGAGAACTTGCCGCGTATAATTCAATAAAGAACCATATCTCTTTAAATAATTTTGAATCGTTGATTTTCGTCCACCTGATAAACTTGTCTATCTATATACGACTTCTAAGCTAAATTCTTCATGATATCATTCTTTGTTGACATGTTTCATGGTCACCTCGTGACAGCTGAGTCAGCAGCATATTGTAGTCTGCGGCCTTTGTTAACCCTGTGCCACCTCACGTCCCCGTGTGACTGGGTGATTGATTCAACATACACAACAACTGTGGAACTTTAGTCACCTCTCTAAAGTGCAATATTCCCATTTGGGATATTTGGGTCTATATATACACATAGCTATATTAAGATCACCAATCTTATATAGATTCACCACAGGAAGAAAGGAAGCATAGTTGAAGCTCCTGTACTCCAGGCAGTGCAGAACCCAACAGCAGCCTCCAGGTCCGATGCATGTCCAGGGACCACACGTTCCTTCGTTACGCCAAGGTTAACGTATCATTGAAAAAGCTAGTTTTGAATCAGCCGCGTTCTAGTATTTGCTTTCCTCATCCAAATGTACCACGGCATTCGGCGATTCTATTAATCTCCTCCCAACGGTGACTGCGGCCTTGTAGAATTTATATAAACCAAAAAGAAGACCTTTATCAAACATCATTGCATTCATCCAGTTATATATTTGTTGACTATCGGATTGAGACATGGATAAATCATCCAAAAGTTCCCCTCTCTGTTTCTCCAAGCAAAAGCAACCAAATATACAAATATTTATTGGGAAAGTATACACAGAAAACAAGAACAAATTTACAAGGCAAAGCAATCAATTAAAAATTAATTAAAAGTTTAATTTCCACAAACAAACAAAATACAGTTACAAGATACATTTAGAAATATGATAGATTAAACTGGCGAAACCACTGAGAGAGCTCACTAATAATGAAACAGACCCTCTCACAATATTTTATTATTGCAATAAAGAGAATCGTTTATTTAAAAAAAAAGAAACATTTGCACATAAATATTTTTAATACAAATGGCGCACGCATGTAACTACAACTATAGTTAGAGTATGATAGCCACCTAGACTGACTGAGGTCCAATTAACCATTGCTGTTACATCAGGGTAAATATATTAATTTTTACACACAAATATTGGCACATTCGAACCTAGTTTGTTCGAAGTTTGTACGAATAAATTGCATTAAAAATAAATTCAATTGCCATCGATCGATGATATTTTAAATTAATATTATAACATATATTATCAGTATTATGTTTACAGACCCCCTCCCTTGCTGCAAAAATAAAATTATATAGAGTTGGAGAGCATGGCCCATCAGTGGTGAACCCTCTCAGCGGTTTCGCTAAATAAATCTAATCGATACAATTTTTGTTGACTTTGCTTAGAATTTTTAATGAAACTGATTCCAAAAATTATTAATTAAACATTATATTTATTGATCTACAAGAGAGAGAACAAAATATAAAAGTGAAACTAATATTAAACAAAGGAACCTTTTTTGTTTCAGTTAGCGCCTAATTATCTGTGAGCTTACACACACTCTGTGGAACAATTAATTAATATATATATACAACACACGCTCCCCTGTGTGTAAGCCCTAATCAGCAAGTCCAAGGCTATCTGCACATTTCCGTAGTTTGTCCTTAGGTAGACTCTTCGTTAGTATATCCGCCTCCATGTCTTCACTTTTAGCGTATTCCAGTTTGATTTCATTTTGAATTTCCTCTTTCACAAAATAATACTTTCGGTTTA